CAAAAGCGGTAAGCCGCTCGTCCTCTGGGCTGCGCCACACGATGCATTGAAATCTCCGATGCTCTGGGGCCACGAGAATTTGTCTAAACATTTTCTCGATGTCGGCTACCATAACGTACTGGTACAGCCGCCAATTCGTTAAGATTGCAGTGATATCACGCTGCAACTTCGGCCCAACGTGGAGGAGATCGTTCAGCGAGCTGCCGCCCGCTGACGTGCTCGAAGCATTCAAAACGACGCGTAATTTCATCGTAACGCTCTCTTCTCGCACCACGGCTCTATGCGGAATGTACAATCTCGATGAATCTATCGACTTAAGTCGAGTCATATGATTCATGGATTCGTACTCCGACAGGAATTCGCCGTAGGATTTGAGGAGCGCGGAATCCGCGTCCAACTTTCTTCTCAGCCTTGTCAACGCGGAGAGTGCGATTCGCAGCGAATCGCCTAGAGCTTCTTCCGGATGCGGCTGTTTAAAGGGAAGTCGGACCACAAAACGGCCGTCTTCGTTTCGTGAAACAGTCTTTTTATAGTGCTCTTCGCACTCGGCCTCTTCCAGGATTTTACGTGCCATGATTGGCACTGCTTCAATCTCCAAAAATTGACGAATCGCGGCATCCAACGATTCGAGCACATTGCAATGCAATGTGCTTACCGTCCTAGAAGGTGAAGCTCCCTGGACTGGTCCGGACAGTTTCTTGCGCGATTGGCGATTCGTCATTTCCTCGACGTAATCCGTCCTTTAAAATACGCGCATATATGTCCGCTCCTAGCAACACATCAATTCGCTGGTCGACAGCGAAATGTGGATCGGTCAGATGCCCAAAAATTGATGGGATCCTAGCACTGATCCGTGGAGGCGTGTACGAGGAGACCTTCTCGACAATCAAGAGATTCGTACGCAACAATGGCGTTTGGCCTTTTCGATTGCCGATCCCAACCTCGACACTATGCTTGATGGTTGCAGATCGTCCGCCCCCCCCCCCCAGGTCTGTAACGGTAGCTGGAATTCGCCTCCTTTGCAGGCAAAGTTCATTCGCTAAATTCGCGGAAATGAACGACGTCTCTGATCCTTGATCTAGAAGCGCCCGAGCAAATCGTGTCTTGCCATTCGGTCCGTATACACGGATATAGGCAGTTGCCAACAGCACTCAATTAATCTCTGCCGCTTTCTCGGTCGTCGTACTGCAGTGCGATGCTACTGCCTTACTTGTAGACGCCGATTGCGCTTTGCCCTTTAGTTTGGGAGGGTTATCATCTTTACGATTCGCTCCCTGACCGTGTCGCGTATCGCGACGGGGCGTTTCTTTCTTGTCAGATGCTTCCTGCTTCCTGCTTTTGTAATGCAGAAGCGTGTGATGCGGCTCATTACATACGCTGCACACATTCGAGCTGCAGCATGAAGTCAATGCATGGTCAGCTGACAGGTATCTAGGGCAGAGATTATGTGCTTTGACCCAAAAGTATCGCCCTTTTTGATCACGCTGTCGAGATTCGTTGCAGTCCTCTAACTTGTGCTGCATTCGGCATACAGACCACTCCGATGACTCCCCATCCGTGGTATCCACGTTTGCTGCATGGGACTTGACGTTCCTTCTCTCGACTTCTGACGAGATCGGTTTCTTGTACCTATCCTTTGCCGCAAGGAGAGCACTCACCTTGTTTTCAAGGAAGTCCATTATTTTCGAGAAGGATGGGAACTTTCGAGCATCCTCGAAAGCCTGTTCCCATTCCCCGTGCAGTTCGTCATCGAAGTGACTGGATACATGGTACACCAGGAGTGGACCCCAGTTATCTACCGTTACGCCTAGCTTCGGTAGTGCGTCTAAAGCTTGCTACAAGCCCACGGTTATCTGCGTGATACTTTCAACATTGTCGTGTTTGTTGGGCTTAAGGTGCAATACCTTATGGAACCACGACGATTGAATCAATCTCGGGTTATTGTAACGCTTGTCAAGCGTAGCCCAAGCGATCGAGAAGTTCACGTTCGTTAGCACCAACGCGGACAAGAGCTGCTCCAGTGCAGCTTGCAAATATTGCAATCGTTGGGCATCGGACAATGTCGCATTGTTTATGACCGCGGAAGTGAAGAGATCACAGAATGCGGGCCAGTCTGGCCATGTCCGCTGAAACGCGGGAGGTCCAATTTCGGTAACCGAACGGACACTCTATGTTCCGCAGGTGCAAGGCTGGCGCAACCGCTCGACGCGGACGGCTCCGCCTGCGCTTCCTGCTTTTCGAAAAGACGAATCTGTTCGTATATGTATCCAATCGTTTCATGGTATACTCTCTCGAAATCATCCATGTATTTCGTTTTAAAATACGGCATCTTTGCCCGTGCCTCCGGAAGGACGGCTGCAAGTATTCTTGCATGTCGGGTTTGGGCTCTATCTCGGTCCCAGTCTCGGTCGAGAACCTCGAGTTGCCCTCGGACGTAGGCAAGGGTATAGTCTATTCATGCTTTCTTCTGAAGATTGGTTTTTAAATTACCAATACGTTGACACCTCACCAAATGATTGATGACGTACACGTCAACTTTCAATGCTCCTATAGTCTCTGAAGTGGAGGTTGCCATGGTCAGTCAATATTCAGTCAATATTAAATTTAATTTGAGTAGGGCGCAGTGTAATCACTGTTCTACTTTTTAATTGCGTACTCACAATCGCTTCTCTCTTTAGATCCGGCTCGAAGGACCCTTTTTTTGTTAGGAGATAGCCTAACGGGAGTCCGGAGTGCGAGGAGAAGCGGGGCATGCAAAATGATGACACGTAATAATTCTTTATAGAATTAGAAAACTAAAAATTTATTAGCGCGGCCGGTCGCCCGGCCGCGTTCTCAAAATGTTATATTAGGATGAGACAGTGATGGGCACCATCGACTAAAAACTATCGATTTAGTCGATAGT